ATCCTCCAACTAAAAAGTTCTAGTAGTTTTTGTACCACGACACTCAAGAATTCACCACTTGTCCAAAACGGCTGAACTCGATTGTTTCATCAAAATATGAGTTTTACATAAGAACAAATTCACAGCGAGTTTCACTAATAATTTTTTTGAAGAAATTTGACGATCAATAGCAGAGGAGCCAGATATTTTTTTGTTAATAAAAGTTAGATCAGATCGTCTTCTTTTGGTCCAAAGAATATCGCAGTACCCGTTTGATCATGAGCTTAGGGGACACCCTGTATAATTAATAAAGATAAATTCAAAATTGAGAAAGACCAGTTTTCTGGTCGTTTTTATTGAATTAAAAAATAGACATATTACATACAGCTTCTGAAAACTGTTAGTTGATTCGATATTTTATTTTTTAATCAGTTTAATAATAAAAGAAGCTATAAGTTCAAGTCAAATTCAATCTAGATTAAATAATCGATTGTACATTGAATTAATGCTTTTAAGAAGATATGGTATTGTTAATTTATCATTTGTTTGATTCATTCAGAATTCGTTTTGTACTGGGCCTTAATAAAGCTTCTTGTATACATATATTTAAAGTAAAAATGAAAAAATATTTCAGATCTCAATTTTTTTACTTCTGACGATTGATTATGTAAGTAATAATATTTCACCACTGCTTGTTTGCATTTTCTTAAAATTGAGCTATTTTGTCATTTGATTTCCTCAAATAAAAATAAATTGAAATAAATTATTATTTAATTGGTTTATTTGATTGGAGGTTTTTACCTTCTTATTGCTCAATCTTTTTTACTTCTTTTTATCAAAATATTAAGTGAATATTGAAGTAATAATTTTTTGTCAATTCAGTCGGTTTCCAAACTACTTATCACCAACTTACCTTATTTTTATAATACTCGAAATTAGTTTATTCAGCAAACACAGGTCAGTTTTTTTAACAGCACAGTTTTAGAATATTAATAAATCACTTTTTTGTCTTTGTAACTACATTTCCAAATGTAAATTTATCACATATTTTCGTCCAACCACTTCTATCACTTAATAATAATTATACATACTTATATGAAAAGACACGTATCGGAATCGTTAAAATTAAAACTGTACACTGACACAGTTTCATCCAATTTCATTAAATTAGCGACTACACTTAATATAAAAGTAAAAAAATTGCCAGTTTAGCCAAAATGAGACGAGCAACTGGAAAAGTGGCAGAGTCGAGACGGTGCACTTGAACTTGACTCATTCTAAGAACAAAAACCTATTGGAACTGATAAAAGAAGAAATGAAGAAATTACCTTTTACTATCTCAAAGATTGATGGTGGTCATGAACCGCTTTGAACAACGAATAGCAGTACTTTTATACTAGGGGTAAAGGAAAAGTAGCGATTCTCTGTTTTTTTTCCATATCCTCAATTATTCAGTAGATATTAATTTACTTATTACTATGAATATAATACATTTGAATTTGATAAAGTTTGGAGAAAAAAATTAATAATAGTAGTTACAATTTGGGAAAAGTACCTACACATATACCATCCGTATACTATAAATAAATCTTAACAATTCGGCTGAAGAAAATGTTAGCTTGAAGGTACTAATGGTATAATTTGGTAATGGCACCAAAAAATATTAAAATGAAAAAATTATAATACGTAGGAAAGATAAATTTAAAAAATATTAGAGGGGTTATTTTTATTAAATGCGGTTTTAATAACTGGGATGAATTTACAGGCGCAACAAGTCAATAGAACAAGTATAAAACTCCAACGACAACAAAAAAAGTAAATAGGAATATGTATGCTAATTTTATTTGTCTGTTATTTGCTTAAGCTTTATGCTAAATAATCTTAATAATATTCATAGCATTAATTGACTATGACCAGAGTATTACGAAGTTAAAATGTACGTAATCCTAATCGAATTAACACAAATGAAGCTATATGCAAAATTTTTAAGGGTAATAGAATTAAAATGCAAAGTTTACCTCTAAATCCATAACGAATTGCGTGAAATAAAAATCCAAACAGCATTGTTCTTCTAAGATTCTACAACTTTTAATTACAATTGGCAACAAAACTCAAATATAAATTTGTGCATGTTGTTATTAGTACCAATTTATGAATATTATGTACCAGGTACTCCTATATAATATTTCATAAAGAATTAATTATAATGAAAAATTCTATTGTTTGATCACATTCCGTCAATTAAAAGTTGCCAGTTTAGCATAATAATTACTAGTGATTATATTAAATACAGTTTTTTCAAAACACATGCTTAAATACTCAATATTTTTTTGTATAATGCGATTGTAGTTTACTAACTTATTGAGATAACATTATGTCGCAGTAAACTCCGTAGGAAAAAACAGCTTTTCTTAAATAATACCATCGACCTATGTTATTTGCCGTTGAATAATTTGCCTGAATTTGGATAAACCTCAATATTTAATGGAATATTCTATATGGATTAAATAATAAAATTAGTCAATGTTTTTGGGATTTTAAATGCAATTGAATCTGAAAGGAATGACTGATGATTGCAAATATATTACCAATATTGAACCAAGTACTTTTGTCCTTACTCCTGTATTATAGCTAATGTTTACAATTTTTATTGCAGATATAACAATCCTCTAACGATTTAGAAGATTGACTTTCTCTTGGCAATAGACGTTGAACAAACCTTATTTAGATTCATTGCTTAATAGGTATTTTTTATTCTAATAGGAATTTACTCGCGCAAAGATTTGTTGCGTTCAACATCTCATTTGGACCAGTTATATCTAATGATCGAAAGGTCTGATCTTTTAAAATGTCCGACAAAGAAACATAACATAGATTCTTCTGTCTACGAACGAAGAATTTCATGTCCTACGTGATTCTTCTCATATACTTGACATTATGTGAAAGTGCACCGAAGAAAGGAAACAGACCGGAATATAAATTACGTTTGAGTGGTTGTAGAGCATCTGCATTACTTTACGTCGGTTTTAGGAGAATTAGTATAAAACGGTGAAGAAAGATTGTGAAGTATCTTGAGAACGCCATTAAGATAGGTCTAAGCGCAAGGTTTACTGTTGTCTAGAAATAACTTCAGATAATTTGTCGCCGTAAACTAATAAATGATGAAAAGCTGAAGTTAATCAGTAATTAGAAGTTTTTAACCAAGTATTAATAAAGTTTGGTATACAATGTTTATAAAAAATCCTGGAATTGAAAAGGATTATTTTGATAAGAATTGTACCCTGTTTTCCAAATGTAGTACGAGGCTTCTGTGTCGTCTTCAGCAATTGATTGGATAATACACTTTGTCTCAGTTGAATTATTAAAGTATTTTAAACTTTAATTGAATATTAGCGGACAAAAATACTATCAACAACTAAGAGAAACAGAAACCAACATAATATGCGCAAATCGAAAAACAAGTTTACGTTTAGTAGTTTATTTAATGTGTAATTTAAACGCTAATAATGTTAAAATTGTGTGTTATTAAAAAGGCTTTCTTTTATAGAGGAAAATTTATTGTGCTTAGTTCAGCCTTTAATTAACTGATTAAATTTGCTTCTATAAATTATCCAAACCTTTAATATAAATCACCATTTTGTCTGGAGTTCAATTACATATTCCCAATTCATAATTGTAGAAATTTGTCTTCTTTTTTTCAGTGAACTGTTTTATTTGATTTAAAAATGTGTCCTTGTAATTTAAGGGTTGTTAAATATTATTCTCGTTGTATGCATTATTTTATTGATAATTTTACTTAATATAATTCGTTGATTTTTAGGAGGTTGTTGTGGATCCACAAAACGTGTCACAATAGTTGGAGGATGGTCTTGGGCATGGTGGCTGGTTACCGACGTTCAAAGACTTTCTTTGGAAGTGATGACACTAAATCCTCAATGTGAGAGCGTGGAAACAGCTCAAGGAGTTCCCCTCAGTGTTACAGGCGTTGCCCAGTGTAAAATAATGAAAGCTGATGAATTACTCCATACGGCCAGTGAACAGTTTTTGGGGAAAACTGTGAAGGAAATCAAAGCTACGATTTTGCAGACGTTAGAAGGCCATTTAAGAGCGATTTTAGGTATGTAAATAAATCGTATTTATTGCAAAATTTATTGACGCTCTTCCTTAACGTGATTCAATTATAAATATGTCACTCAATTATTTTTACGCAAAAATGTGAAAGAAAATTATTTCAGAATCAAACCCAAACTAAGTACTTTTAGGAAATTTTAAAAAAGTACACATTTTTTGAATCTGTACAACATAGCCTGCCCAACAAATTTTTAATTTGTTTTTATAATTTGCCGAATATGGTGTAATTCACTGTAAAATATACTTGGCGCAACGCGGATTTGGCAAAGGAAAATTAAAAAATCAGCTTTTTGGTTCATCAAAAAATGTAGTTAAAAAATAAACGATCTTTTGATTTGATTAAACTGTTTTCATCATTCCAGTGGTCGTTATGGTATGGCAAACTTCATAAATACGGTGTCCAAATTGTATTGACGAATGTGTTCCGTACTTCGAGAAAATTTTAGCAACATATATTTCTACACTAATTATTCGCCATTATGTCAACAGATTTTATTTTTAATACATTTTTGAAACCCTGGTCAATTCTTTATAGAAATTACGTCAAACATAATATTTTCTAGCTTTATCTTAGAAGTTTTACATGTTACATAAATAACTATTTTTTACTATACTAATTAATAATCAAACATTCGAAATTTCCAAGTTCATATTAGATGTATTACACAATTAAATAAAACCTAATTAAGTAAAAACTAAACTATTATCGGCAATGCATTAAAATTTACAATAATATTTTATTTGGTGGATGAATCGTACCCGTTTTTATATAATATTTATTCATATATTCTATAAAATTACCCTACACATATCAATTACAATAGCTATCTATAGATACCTCATTATTATACAAACATTTTACTTTTCTTTGCTATCTAGTCTGATTAGTCCTCATGACCTGCTGTTTGAAAAGTTTCTCCATTTTTTCTGAATTATGTTCTTGAACGTGGGCCCTTGTTCTAAAATAGATAAATTTTCATACCCGCAGCACGATATTATCACACAGAATTATCAGAAGAAATTTAATCGAGCAAACAAATAAATAAATACCATACCTTGACAATACCGTCAAACCTACTGCAACCGAACAGCTTAGCAGTGGCACCCAAACAACATACATTGCTGAGATTTTACTATACACATATCACAAACTAAGAGCTCCCAAATTTGTCAACTTTTTTGCTTAGCAAAGTCAAGCAACCAAACCAGTGCTATTTAGGAAAATTAAAATAAATTACTCTAATAACGTTCAAGGCTCAATCCAAAACACAACAAGATTAAAAGCTATGTGTAGAAGTAGGCAAGGTTCAAACTTTATCTATATGGCGATAATCATTTTGCAACTTGCATCTCTAAGCAAATCTATTTCCCCCTTTGAACTAAAGAAATGTATGTACTTCCTTCAACTTATTGAATATCTTATCAAACGAAAAAATATCGTCAAGTTTAATGCAATTTGTTATGAGTGCAGTTTTCTTCCATTAGTAGGCACCGAATCACTTGCGCCAGAAGTAGTTACAGGGTAATGTTTTTTTACGATCAGGATGGTTTATTATCAGAAAAGCTGTGTAATATTTAATAAATACCATAATATTGATGGCACTAAATTCACTTGAAATTGTTGCATAATACTTACTTCGGCTGGTTAAGTTGCACGACAGTACACAGAATAATATAAAGTACATTTTTTTTCTTAATTACATGTCTATTATTAGTTTGGCATACTCTGGTAATAAAACGTGCTTAATAGGTATGTTTAAAATTGGATTTTTGCAATTTTTTTAAATCAATTTTTTATTAGCGCATTGTTGAATAAATGGTTTATTAAATTATCTAACATATTTTATTTGGAATGTTTCTTTTTTACACCTCTGAGTTAGTCTAGAATTTGGTGATTTATTTCTGTTGGTTCAGTTGATTTTCCGAAAGATTCTTTTGCGCGATCTGAATCAAGATCAACTGGTCTTCTAACTTCCCTTTTTCAATTTTTCTAAACTATTTAAGTTGATTCTTAAGTCTGTATTTTTAAGCTAACATTGTAATAGTGCGATTTACAAAGTGGTTTCCCGAACTGAACTAGGTATTTATTCGCGGCGATATGATGATATGTATTTAATTAACTTCCTCATAGTGCCCATGAATTGCCCGCCGCATTAAGTGTGATTATTACGTGTTATTGACGTAATTAATTAAGAGTTTTTCGTAAATCATCTTTTTGCGCTTATCTCTCGTGACGTTAGCTTGACCTTAAATGGAGCAACTTGTAACGTTTTATTGATATCAGAACAATAAAAAATTAATTTAACATTATTATACGACGGTATTTAGTATTATTAAGATACAACCCTCGTCAGTTGACCTCTAATAGGATAAATTCGTTTTTAATATATAGTGATCATTTAATGAGGTTTGATTAGAACTTGTATGTGTAAAACTAAAAATAGTGTGTTTTAAGTACCACTTTGGAAATTACTGAGCTGTAGATTGTTTAACTTCTAATAGATACCTGCCTCATGGTAAAATAATGAAATATTATTTAATAATGAACATGTAAAATGAAATTAAAGAGGATCTAATAAATAAATTACAGGACGGAAACGTAACAAGTACAGGTTGGGGCAAATAAAAAGCAATTGTAAACCTTCAAAAAATAGATAGTTGGCAGTAAAAAATGTGCGTAAAAAATTAT